ATTTATTGGAATATAGGTTCTCAAAGTAGTCTCTGGTGATTCCCTGGATTTTCATGGTGTTTGTTGTTATCTCCCCTTTTACGTTTCTGATTTTGCTAATTTGTTTCTTTTCCCTCCTCATTTTGGTCAGATTTGCCAGGGGCTTGTCAATCTTGTTTATTTTTCCAAAGAACCAGCTTTTTGTTTTGTTGATTCTTTCTATGGTTTTTTGGCCTCTATTTCATTAATTTCAGTCCTTATTTTTATTATTTATCTCTTTCTGCTTGCTTTGGATTTTTCTTCCTCTTGTTTTTCTAGGAGTTTGAGATGTAGCATTAGGTCATTTGTGGAGAGTGGAGTAGGAGAAATACAGTTGTACTTAGTGTTTTGTAGGCTGAGATTTGGCACAGCCCTAGTCGCAGAATAGAGTGAGAAGGTGAGATGAAGCACAACTGCTTTTCTTAAGTTGTTTAGTAGATTTCTCCTGTTACAATGTCACGCCCCTCCCCGAGAAATGCTCCACCTCTTTGTTTACCACTGGGTATAAAAGACTTGCTGAAGGAGGACATGAGGCTTTTTGGGTGAAAGGAGGCTTTTGGGTGTGGGAGGCTTTTTGATGATGGGAGGCTTTTTGGATGAAGGCAGGCTTTTTGCTGAAGGAAGGATTGCTGGAGGGAGAATTGCTGAAGGGAAACGAATTGCTGAAGGAGAATTGCTAAAGGGGAATTAGTAAAGAGGGGTAGATAGAAAGTCTGCACTGAGAACATTATACATAGGCTTTAGAAAAGCTAAGCTAAAGAAAAGCTAAAGACAGAACATGGACAGTGCAAGTCTGAGGGCAAAGACTTTAAGAGAGATTATGCTAAAGAACAGCTAAGAGAAAACATTGGACAGAGTGAGTCTAAGGAAAGAGACTTTAAAGAACAGAAAAGAAGACTTTAGAAGCAAGGTTTTAAAGAACTGTAAAGGAGGAAGGCCTTAAAGAATAAAGATGGAGAAAAGAAGCAGAGTAAAGAAAAGAGATTAAAATTGATAACAAATAAAGAGGCTGTTGGGTAATTGGGGGGGTTCATGCCTTTGAAGAGAGGATATTGGGACCCTGGTTCCTTCTCTGTTCACCTCCTGGCCACTATGAGGCGACCAGCTTTGTTCCACCATATGCTTCTTGCCACAGGCCTCAAAGCAATGAATCTAATTAATCATAGACTGGAACCTCTGATACCATGAGCCAAAGCATGCCTTTCCTTCTCATAAGATATAGCTAGATCAATCTAATCAAGATAATGCATTCATGTATCCAAGAAGATTTCTCATGTCTTTCCCAATCCCCTCTCATGCATCTCCCCCTCAAGTCCCATTGCTAGTTAATCACCATATGTCACTATTTGTAGTTTGCATTGTCTACATTTTACATAAATGTGACAAGAATGTATAGACTTTCATTTTGGCTTATTTTACTCAGCATGGCTACTTTGAGAGTCACCCATATTGCATGTATGAATAGTTTCTTTGCATTTATTTCTTAGTAGCATTTTATTTTAAAGATGACCACAATATGTTTATCCAGTTACCTTCTGGTGGACTTTCTGGTTGTGTCTGACTTGGTACTAGTAGAGATAGGCTTGTGTTACTGTTTGTGTACTAGACTTTGTATGAAGATACATTTTCTTTTGCACTCTCAGAATGAGACTCTGGGTTTGAGTTTTTTGAATCCTCAATCTTGTGACTATAGGAAATAAGTATATAATTTACTGAAGACATGGAAAATTTACCTTTTGGGTGGTGGTTTAGCTTGGTATTTGAAGCCTTTGTCCAGCAAAATTAGCAGCTAGTCATCTTTATCATGTTCGTTGGTTTTACTAAAATATTATAATGTATCTTAGTCACACAGCACTCTCTTTTATATACATTTGATCAGGCGTCAGGTAGGGATACTTTGCATATTTTTCTGCTAAATCACATTACATGTGTTTTCTTTAACACTGGAAATGGTCATTAATCTTAAAAATATAATCAATCATGTCAAACAACCAATACCAGAAACCTAGATCAATTTTCTAAAGAACAATTGGTACAGAATATTCTTATATGTGGTAAACCATTTGGAATTACATCAGCTGCTAGTAACCATAACAAATAAAAGTATGGATTAAGAACTACAGAGTTTTTTATTTTATTTTTTTAACAAACTCTAGAGGCAGACTATCAAGGATGTGTGTGATCTCTCCATTATGTTGTCTTTCTAATGCTCTATCCCCCTGTTTTTGACATTTTTATTTGTTTGTTACTTTTGATCTCTCCTTTCCCAAATGAATCCAGCAAAATGCTTCTCTGGTAAGCAGCTTTCATGAGATATTTCATATTCAAAATGATTACACCTTCACATTTGCTTTTACATTCTCAGATGGAGTTAAAATCCTCCTTTAAAGTTTCAAATGCATGGTTTCTGATGGATTAAGTCATTGTGAGGAAAACATCAGAGACATGATATTACTTTGAAAGAACAGTTTCTGATTGTGTAACTATGAAGTCATAACACAAATCTTAATAAGAGCACAATGGCCCATGTCTGTAATTCTGACTACTTGAAAGGTAGAGTTAGGAGGATTGCAGTTTGAGGCCAGCTTAGGCAAAAAACTTAGTGAGACCCTTGCTAAACTAACAATCTGGTCATAGTGGCACATGTCTGAAGTCCTAACTATGCAGGATCTCAATTCAAGGTCAGCCCTAGGCAAAAATATGAGACCCTATCTAAAGAAAAAGGAGCTCAAGCTGTGACTCAAGTAGTGGAGAGCTTGGCCAGCAAGTGTGAGGTCCTAAGATCAATTCACAGTAAGACCAGAAAGCAAACATATTTTAAAACAATTAAATTAAAAAAATGAAGCAGCTGTGATGCAAACTCCCAGCAGAAAAAAAGAAAGAGCCCAACCCCAAGGCAAATCTGAGAGAGAATTTGCCTAAAATCAATAGACCTGGGTACCTAGTGTTTACCTAGTTCTGGGAGTTCTCATGCTGCAAGGATGATACATACAGTCAGGATCATGTCACATGCAGAAGTGTGCATGGGTAAATGTGTGTGCGTGCGCATGTGTGTGTGTGTCTGCTGGTCAGTCAGTCTGACATAAGGCTTTATTTTTACTGTTATTATGAAGCCTCTTGAAATGGTTCTGCAATAGTCTTTTTTATTTTTATTTTTTTGCAGTATTGGGGCTTGAACTCAGGGCCTACACCTTGAGCCACTCTACCAGCCCTTTTCTGTAAAGGGCTTTTTCAAGATAGGGTCTCATAGAACTATTTGCCTGGGCAAGCTTCAAACTGCAATCCTCCTGATCTCTGTCTCCTGAGTAGCTAGGATTACAGGTGAGAGCCACCGGCACCTGGCAATAATCCATTGAGGGGCAAAGATAAAGCCTTTCTTGTAGAAGAAAGAGCTCAGATTTCAATCCACTCTTGATCGTCATAGGGATTTAGGATGAAGCAATTTGAGAAACTTGGCTGGTAACTATTTTTTCCCCTCCCACAGCATATCATCTCTACTAACACCTGGTAATTCATGGGGGTCAACACTGTAACAGTTGTTTCCATACACTCACCTCAATTCCTGAAATCTGGTCAGGACCATGCAGTGAGCCAGACTCACTGCATCTTCCACAGGGTTGTGTGTGTGGTTTTAACAAAACAGAAATGGATTCCATTATTCTCCTGATTCAAATTCTTTGATGACTCCCATGCAAAGAATGCAAGCCAGATATGTAAAAGTACATCCAGGATGATTTCAGTTATACAATATTTGAAAAATGTAAACCAATCTACAGTGATAAAAAGCAGACCAACAATTGCAGGAGGCTTTGACTGTGGGAAGGTGGATTGCAAATGACACAAAGGAAGTGTTATTTACTTTGATTTTAGTGGTAGTTTTGTAGGTATACACATCTATCAAAATTCATGTATCATGTTTTAAGTGGATGTGTTTTTTATATAAAATAAAAATATAAAATATACCTTAAAATTGATTTGAATATTCTTGTGAGAAAGAAGTCTTTTACGTGCCATTCTAGATGGATATCTTAAAGTTTAGTACTTGTAAATCATTGCTGCATTTGAATATAACTGAAAATGTGAATACATTTTAGTGATTTCCAAAATATAGTAGGTTCAGCTTTGAAGAGAAATGAGGTCTATATATACCTCAGTAAGTGTCAACCTTGATTTTCTGGGGAGTCAGAAGACTAATGGTAAACAGTCTAAGACCAATGATCAAGTTAACATATTCAGAACTAACCCAAGTTCCCCAGGGTGGGAAGTGGAACTCAGGTCTTTATAGCTCTGTTTCTGTTCTTTGTATCACTGCACAGCTGAAGGTGGGAATGGCAAGGAGAAGGTGGATGTCATAGGTACACTATAAAAAAGAGGTGACTTAGAGATTTTTCCCTATGCAGGAACCCTACGCTACTTTTAATCTGACAACGTTATTGCCAAGAAACATATGTAAAAAGAGAAGAGCAGTACAAACAAAAGAAAAGGGAGAAGAGCAGAAACTAAGAAACAATGGAAAAGATATCTTTTCAGTGTGTGAATGTGGAGAAAATAGGAAAGCATTGAAACACTTATAATTATACCTGCCTGCTGCTCCTGAGAGTCATGGTTTTATGTTTCACCTGACAATAAGCCTTCTAGCAACAACAGAAGTTGGGAAGGAACTGCATAAAAGCAGTGAGATAATTGGCTGAACATTACTTCACCATGGGAGGCAAGTTTGGTGCTGTTCTAGAAACCAAAGCCTTGCTAGCAAAACTTCCTGCTGTCTTCTCTCCCAGAACAAGCAGGGCTTTCACAGTCACTGGGATTTCCTAGGCAACAGAAGTGTAAACTTTAGAAAAGGCAGGATCAGAATAAAGATAGACAGTGAGGTGACCCAATCGGTCATGAGTCTGCATCAGTGTCCCTACAGCATCCAATTAACATTAAGAAGGTGGAGCAGTACATTTGAAAAAGACAGGTAAGAGGGAGAGGCACTGGGACTTGGGAGGGGACTGGATTCCCCAGATGCAGGAGACAGCGTCCATAGTTTCAATTCGAAGCAACTGGTGGCAACAGGTTAGCGTTTAAGGTAATCCATGTTTTTTATTTATTCTATTGACTTGATCACTTTTGTTTCATAACAAAAGAAGATAGTAGATAATACTCTAAAAATAAAGTCAAAAAGTTGATGAGAATTCTTGACTGGAGAAGCCATCAGTAGGTTGTCAGTTTATGGAGGAAATAGCTTAGCACTGAGAGGCTTTCCTAATCATTGTGAAGAGATATTTAGATAAAAGTTTACAAAAATAAATTTCATTTAGTAAAGGGGAAGGAATTGAATACTACTAAGCAGTCATTGTGTAATGGGAACTTGAGTGCAAAGGGTTTATATGGTTTTCTATATCTATCCTCATGGCCATAGATTGATAAAAACAGAGCTTCAGGGGGGTTCTACACCTCTAAGCCACAAAGCAGTGAAAAGAATGAGCTGTAATTCAACCTTGGTTCATCTGATAAGTTTGTGCTATTTCTGCCATACCCTGCTGAATCTGAGAAGGAATGGGAATTGTTACTAAACAGCACTGACATGGTATATTCAAAATTATGTCGGAGAGTTGATTTGATTAATCATGAGTTGGGAAGAACCTCAATAAATGCAACCCCATTTGTTCAGTGTGCATCTCTTTTGCCTTTGGTCTGGAGTGTAATTAAACCATACTATGTAGATGAAATTCTCTACTGTTTTGAAGCCTTTTCCTCCCTCAAAATCCTACAGCCAGAAAGTTTTAAATATTGTGATTTAAATTGCAGGCATTTGATTATATTTCTTTTCTGATAATATCATATGGTTGTGGTGTGAAAGCAGTCACAGATTGCATGTAAATAAATATGTGTGACTGATTTCCAATAAAACTTCATTGATAAAATCAAGTGAAGGGCCAAATTTGCCCAAGGGGTTTGGTTTGATGTCCTTGGGTCGTTTTAAGTTATGTTTAACTGAACTCAGGGTATCCTTCATATCTGCTGATGGAATGTTGAATCTTTGCTGTGGGGAAGCAAGAGATCATCCACATATCCCCATGCCTACTTCTCCTTAGTCTTCTCTATCTGATGCTCATATGCCTGCAGAAGCTTCAGGCTCTACAGAGTGCTGTGACATGAGCTGCACTGGATAGTTGCCAATTCATAGCCAGTCTCCTTTTTTATTTTTGTTTTTCTTTTTTTTTTTCGTGGTACTGGGGTTTGAACTCAGGGATTCATGATTGCTAGTGAGGTATCTGCTATTCTTTTTAAGCAGAACCTTGGGGTTAGAAAGTTACCCAGCCAAACATTAGGATTCCTAGGAATCCTAATTTTGCAGGAGTGCTCAGTGGGCTTTAAGTGGGAGATGTTGAGTGAGCCTTCTGGACACCACTTAACAGGGTGCTGATTGGGCTGGGAGGTATCTTTTTCTTGCCTTTTGTCCATTTTTCTTTTATGTTGCCTGAAATGTGGATGCAATAACTGGAGATGTTTTGCTTATTATGTACCTTCAGGCAACTTTGAGGATAAAAATCATGGTAGGGTAGACATACCAGAGTCTTGGGATTCTGATAACTCTTAGAACTGCTTTCACACTTCTTTTACATGAGAAGAAAGTAAATTTCTTATTGTCAGAGACTTGTGGTTTCAATGACTTGTTTCTGTTACAAATAGCTGATATGCCAACAATTGATCACTGATATACCGACCTCCATGAGTGTTGGCACCATGACATTGGCTTTTGATCCGCTAACACTTCTTAGTTTTATTGGAAGTATCAGTCAACAGTACTTAAGATGCAAATAATTAGCTGGATTTCCAGATGGCTACAAAATAAACATTAGTCAATTCAAAAGTCATATCATAAGAGATTGCAAAATAGTTGCTGAGTTGGTGACTAATGTTTGCAAAGGGACAAATGCCAGCATAGTGTGACTTTGTATTTATAAGGTGATGAAAGGTCTTGTCCTCATAGTGGGTTTGAAATCACTGTGTGAGACCAAGTCTTTTTGGCCCCTGAAAAATGGAATATTTGAAAGTTACTTAGTTATTTCTAAGAGCATAGTCATTGAAACCAGAAGTTTGCAAATGAAAGCTTTATTTTTCTTTTGCCTTGGTTTCTTTACTCTGCTTAGTGTTTTGTATACAAATTCAGCTAAGTCTCTGCTTGCCTTTCATATAATTTAGACATCTTCTTACTCTGCTTCTTTAAGAGGTTGCAGCTGGCAGGCTGACCTTGATCAGAATGGACTGCAAGTAATTTCCTGGTAAAACCCCCAGAGACTCAATGCACAGCTCAGCGGGAGAGTGTGGTGGAGAAGGAACAGCAAGCGGAGTGTTTCAGACAGTTCCTGCAAGCCACAGTACTCCCAGTGCTTATTATGAAGACCTGTAACTCTGGGCCTCCGTGTTTTATTAAACCTGGGTTTTTACCACATATGTTAGTTGCATAAATCATTTGATATCATGTTGAGTAGTCTTCTCACTGTCTTTCATAGTCAAAAGTGCTAGAGACTGATGATTGACAATAAAATTTTATTGAGAGAAGAGGTTATAATGGAGTGACTTTTTCTCTCATCCTGATTCTCAGAGGGAGCAGTTTCTCTTCACATTGGATTGGTAATTTGTATACCCAGGTAAAGATTGATATCTAGGGAAAAAATTTTGCCAGTTGTATCAGTTAGGAATACTTACAGCTGCAAGTATCAGCAGGACTGATCAACAACGGATCAGACAATTGATACAAAGGGATTATATTTCTCACATGACAGGGCTGTAGAGTCAGGCAGTTGCTGACATTGGTTCAATAGCTCAACGATGTTAGAGCTCTGTGGTGATAGGACTTTTCTCTTCTCTCATAATTGCATAGAGGCTGCTACAGTTCCAGATATCACATTTGCACTCAGTACAGGAGGGATGCAAAAGAGATAGAGTTATTCCAAGGTCTATCACTCTCTCATTTGGGTCTCTTTGGCTAGACCTTGTTGCCATGACTACACAACTGAAATTGCAATGCAGCAGAGGAAAAAGAGGAATGGAATGACTTCTGAATAAGCCACTTTTCAGTTGTTAGCGTCTAGAAAATCAGCTGTAATTCAAATTCAGCAGTTAAAACCATCCCTAAGAATGCAAACTTCCAAGGGTTGGAACCTTGACTGTCTCATGCATCGCTACCACATGGCACCTAACAGGTATTCAGTAGCATGTTGAATGTTGGACCAAGACCAGGGTAAGTCAAGTAATGTGCCTGTGGCACAATAGTTAAGGAGGTTCTCATCTCAGACTTAGGCAAGTGTAGGGCTGACATCTGCCTGATCCTGAAATTTAGCACTTCCTTAATATTTTGTGTACCTCCTTACATATTGCTCCCTTACCTTCTAGCAGGAGCTGTAGGCCTAGTTGAATGAATAAAATGAAATATCAAGAAGATGAAGTTATATAGTAAACACTTGTGAAATATGAATTTAAAAAAATTTGCCATATCATAACCATTAAGATAAGGACTTAATCCACATCCTAAAATCAGTAGCAAGAATTAAAGACTATAATTTAGGAGATGTGGGCCCTAAGGAAACCTGCCTATTGTGAGCTGCAACATGAATTTTAAACATCTTGAAGAAATGCATCTTGATGCAGGAAAAATTTCATAACATGCCAGACTTCAGTGGTATTGTATTTCTCCAGCATGCTTGTGTCACTTAAGTATAAATTGAATACTGTCATCTTGTGCTGACACATGGAGTAGGCAATCCAAACAAAAGCAGATGTTTCATGAACATATCCATTGTAAAAATATTTTTTAATCTGTGAAATACTAGTAAAAATCAAATGGTATGCAAGATAATTGGTACAGGAATTTTGAATTTAGTAAAAATAAACTAACATCATTTTAACAAAAGAGCCCTTATGTTTTGAAGACACAGGTCCAGACCTGAGGTGGGAGAGAGGGGTCATGGTGAAGAACCATGGGGAGCCTGGCTATTTCCACCCTCTGCTGTATTGCCACCAAGTCTCCTAGGCAGTCTTTTTCTTGCTTCATCTTATTTCAGGGACCTTCCTGAATTCCCAAAGCAATTTATCAGCATCTCAGCATCACTGTTTCATTCCTGGCTCTGCCACTCCCTAGTAGTACAAACACAAGCAACTATGACCTAGCCTTTCCAGGTCTCTACTGACTTCCTCTAATAAAGAGGTCGTATTCAATAGAGCCCATGACACAAGGAAACGTGTTGGTGTATGTAATGTACTTTGTAAGGAGCTTGGTCACAGCATAATTATAATTGCTATAATTACCATCTCTCTTTACATCTTTATTTTATCCTGTGTTCTGTTAGAACCTTTTTTTTTTAGGTCTTATTCCTTTTATAGAGGATGACTTTGGATCTTATGGTTTAGGTTTTAAACCTAGTTATGCATTAAAAATCATCTGAGAATATTAAAATGTGTATCTACATACCTAATTTACTGTGTTTGGTGAGGACTGTGTTCATCTTCATGTTTCAACAGCACCCGTGGTCATCCCAGTCCTTTCCTTATGCAAGGCTTTTTAACTTCAGGACTATTGGCAGTTTGGACTGGACGCTTTTTTGTTGTCAGGGGCTTTCTTGTGTATTGCAGCATTAGTAACTTAACCTTTATCTATTAAATGCCAGTAACATTCTCCCCCAGTTCTGTTGCAATAACCAAAGGTGTCTCCAGATATCATCAAATGTCTCCTAGGGTGCAAAACCATACTTTCTGGGAAACGCTGCACTATAATATCACTTGAAGAATAAGTGCAATGTTTCGTTTGTTTGTTTGTTTCTTTTTTCTTTTTTTTTTTTTTTGGTGAGACTCAGGTTTGAACTCAGGGCTTTGCAGGGACAAAGCAGGCACCCTACCACTTGAGCCACACCACCAGCCTTAGTGCAATGTTTTGCACTAACTTTGCTAGTAGTGCTGAGTGTCTGTCTAGTCCAATTGAGCTAAGTTGGGTTTGATGCAGTAACCCTCACCATGTCAACAACGCTGACACAGTTTCTGCTGTGTGTTTGCTGGGGTTTCCATGTTGAGTATTTAATTTCAGTG